AGGGGCGGTGGGAGTAGCCTGGAGGGGAGTGGGCTTCGGGGCGGGGGGCCAAAGGAGCGCAGGCGGAGAGACCGGAGGGAGAGCGCGCGGAGCCGAGCAGCCGGACCCGGGAAGGGAAGGGAAGCGCAGCCAGCCAGCCGGCCAGCCATGGAGAATGGGCTGCAGGGTCCCAGGTAAAGCCGGCGGGAGAGCGACGGAGATCCTCCAGGAAGCTCCCGCGTCGGTTTTCGCGCGTGGCGCTGCATCCTTTGCAGGACAGGCAGGATGCGCGAGCGGCGGACAGCCCGGTGCTCAGAGGGGAGGCGAGGGCGAGCGGAGGGGTGTTTTTCTGCAGGGGTCTCTTGAAGCCAGAGACCCAGGGGCGCGGAGGGGCGAGTTGATGGATTGGTATGGGGGGAGTGCAGACTCTAGACTCAGCACATTCTTGAATAACATCCTACCTCCCCCCTCCGTCCCCTCGTCTGGACGCGGAGGTTTCCAGCGCTCCTTGCAGTTCGCAAGGTGAAGCCCCCTTTTTTTCCTCTTGCACAGAAGACCCCCCTTATTCCCTCGAAAAAGGTCCCGTTCTTCTCCCGCCCCTTCCAGGTATCCTGGAAAAGTGTCTGGGGAAGGGTCGTGGCATCCTCCGTGGCGGAGCTCCTTTGGAATGTTGATGGGATGGGGGGGGGGCTTAGGAGTGGGACGTTTGTTATTTGGGGATTGAAAAATAAATGCATTGGCCAGGTTTGTCATTGAACACATATATCACTCCTTAGTTCTGCCTGTAGTTCTGCGGAAGAAAGGAAGGGGGAAAATGTCTTCTTGGCTGCAAGGAGATCTACTAGATTACAGTAGAGATCTTGCCAAGTGTTAATCAGCAATTGGAGAAAGGGGAAAAGGTGAGCCCTCCTTTGGGTGCCAGCCCCAAATGTGAGGCTCCATGTGATCGTGGAGCAGATCCAGAAGGGGGACTTTTCTCCTTGTCTCTTCCCTGGTTGTGTGTATGCAATTCAGCCTCCCTATACATCTTGTTTACAGTGCGGCAGACTTCCTATCATGGCCTCTCGCCTGCTGCCTTCAGACCCCAGATGGGTTATTTAATCGAATGGGTTAGAAGCGGACAGGGGTGGAGGTGGGGGCAAAGGTCTCATTAAAGACTATTTTTCAAAAATATCTCTGCTTGGATGCTTTTGCAGCATTCTCCAGTTGTGTGTGCGTGTGTGTGTGTGTGTGCAACACACACACACACATATATATATATATACTCATATTCAAAGGCACTTACAAAGGAAGAAGCCAACAATAAGGGGACAACAGCACACAGCTTGCAACTGGCAGGAATTTTTGTACAGTAGGATTGCGGAGAAACTGCCCAAGGAAAATGCTGGGAAACAGACCTGCCCATTCTTACCAATTACAGTGGCAGTAATATTGTTAACAAGGGGAATTTTTGTGACTGGGTAAAAGTAGCCAATTTCTTGGTAATGTCTAGGAATGTTGGTCTTGCCACAGGCTTTTACACCCACAAAGGTGGGAGGCTGGAAATTTAAGTTGCCAAGAAAGTGGGGGGGGGCATTCTGGGATCAGTCTGCATTGGCAGGAATACTGTATACAGCGTGAGTTTGAGAGAGGCTTGAAGCTTAGCAAAAAAGCGGTCTTGAAGATGCACTCACAGACCAGCTCCCGTAGCATGTGGGCAGACAAGGTGATTGGGATGTAGGTCAAATCTGTCTGGATGTTCCCAGAACTGGGTCATGGAGAGTACAGAAGGAGTGGCTGGCGCTTTGGGGGACATAGAGGAATTAAAGTTGCCAGCTTGAAGCCAAGTTCTACCTGGTGCACGCTTTTCAGCTTTCCAGAAGGAATTTGGAACTTGGTAGGTTGGTCGGCTGGGCAACTGGGGCCTCACCTGGTTTGTTGGGAGGGGGCAGAGTGTGTGCCCATGGGAGCATCGCTGCCCCTGAGTGGGCGTGTTGCCCTGCTCTTCTGCATGGTTCCTGGGCTACGGAATTCTGTTCCGAGGCAGATCTTGGCCTCTCTCACTGGGTAGGACAAAACTGGCACTCTTCCACTCAGGCATTCGGCCAACGCAGACCTCACTTCGCCCCTCCCCTCCTTTTCTGAAATGCTTGCTACTTGCCTATAAGAGTTCTAGTCTCTTGCGGACTCTTGCTGAGATGAGCTCGGAGAGCTTTCTAGAGGGCGGAGGTATCCATCAGCCCAGAGAATGAGTGTGTAACGCAGGGATGTCCTGGTCAAAATATCAGAGGTAAGGGGAAAGCTTCCGTGAACTAAAATAATGTTTCAGCTCCTCACTATCTCTGTCTTTGGGAATAAGGAAAGGCTCTCAGAAAGAATTTGCACCTGTCGATTCTGCCAAGAACCTGGGATCCACCTCCTTGTCTCCAAAGGATCATTGCTGTGATTGATTAAGCAAATCCCCACCCATTTTAAAGTCCAGAGCTGGTCGCCTGCCAGTCCCAGCTCCTGTTCAGAGGTCCTGAGCCATTCCTGTCCACAAAGGCACGGCTCCTGCTGGCTCCGCGAGGGCGGTCCCAGGACTCCACGGACTTTCACCTTAAGGAGAAGTCACCGGCAACTTCGTCTGTTCACGAGGAGCCTTTGGTCTCTCTCAAGCACCGCGTCAGTCCTGCAAACTCCTGCAGCCTCTGGGACGGGCTCTTCGGGGTACCCATGGCTGATGCCCGGCCACTGTTTGTAATGTCTGGAAAGTTCTTTGGGCCAGGAGGAGGGACACTTTTAAAACATTAACCTGGTGCCTGGTAAACTCTTTCCATAGGCATGATCCCTGGGCGCCCTCCGTTCTTCCGGGATTTCTCTTCTGCCTTGGCATGACTTCCCTGGCACTGCTCAGTCCTTCTCCCCCACTGCTCCGCTGGCACCCCCTAGTGGCCTCCCCGGTTCTCGCTCACTCTTGCTTTTTTGCTTCCGCATTTTCCCACTTGCAGGCATCTCGACTGGCTGCTGTCCCAACCCAGCCTCCTCCTCACACATGTCCTTCTTCCGCAGCCTTTGCTGTTGGCTGTTTTCCTCTGGGCAGGGAAGCCGGTGGCCCTCGCGTGCCGGAGGATGAACACATGACAGGTCTTGTGTACATCACGTGTTCCCGGCCCCGTGCCAGGCCGTGACGCGGTGGGTGGAGGTAGGATACAGTTCCACATATGGAGAGGAGCCCGCTCGGCTTGGGGTTGGCAACGAGTCGGCGGTCAGCAGATGGCAGAGGCGATGGGGCAGTTAGGCAGGAAGCTGGGCCCGAGGGTGCCTTTCCTGTGGGGGGCTCTGGGGCAGGTGAGTCTGAGCACTGTTCTGCCACTGTGGCATCTCTTCTTTCTCTGCTTGCTTCGTTTGCGCTTTCCGCTCACATTCTTCTCCCGTGTGATCCTTCCCGTTCATGTTTTGCTCCATTTTCCTCTCGTTTTGCATTCAGCTTTTCCCTGCAGATATCCTCCTGCTCTTCTGTAGCTTTCCTCCTCCTCTTTCCCCTTGTCTCTTTCTCTTCTGGTTTCCCCATCAGTTAATTCTCTCCTTTCTTCTCTGTTCTCCATTCTCTGATCTGCTCTAGCCATTTTATTCCTTCCTTCTCGGATGTGTTTCATGGTTAGTTGTATCTTTGCTCACCTGCCCTTCATTCTTAAATCTTCTTCTCCTCTCTGCATGTTTCGTTATACATTCCTTCATCTCTTTTTAGTTTCCTCCCATCTCTTTCCTCCCTGTTATTTTAATCAGTTCTCTCCTTCCTTTTCTCTCTCTCCCTCACACACACACACACACGCACATAAATACACATTCATGCATCCTCTGTTCTACTTTCTGTCCAAACTGAATTGGCTGCTCCTTTCCAGCCATAGTTCAGGCTTGGAGCATGGAGCAGGGGTGCCTCTCTCAGCTCGTACACATATTCCAAGCAGCTGCATCAGTGTTACAAAGATATGGTCTGCCTCTGCATTTGTGAAACAGCAAACTCTCAGGTGCATGAATCTAGAACTTGAAGGATATTAGTTTGAACCTTGTCTGTATTCAGAATCCAGACCATGTTATCCCCCTCCTTTTTTTTCCTTTTATGCTCCTGTTGATGGGACTAGGTTGAAATGGGGCTAATTTTCTTGGCAAGAGGGACTTTGTAGAGGGAATGAGACTTGAGGAATTCTCCTGGAGAATCAGAGCCAGAGCAAGATTTGAGTCTCCTGGAAATGTTGGTCTTGTCGCAGTCACAAAGACGGGAGCCTTGTGAGGACTCTTTGTAGATTGATCTGTAGTGCCTCAGTCTTCCCCTCCCATGGATTGGGTAATAGATACACTCAGGATACTTGTTTGTGGTCTTGGCTGCACCAAGGGGCACTAGAGGTTGGTCTTCCCATCTCATGATTAGCAAGAAAGAGGACAGGAGGTGTTGGGAAGGACAGAAGTATTTCAACCTTCAGAACATGAGAACTGTAACTTGGTTGGTGCGTTATTGATTTCCCTCTTGCTTGTGTACAAATTCTGATTAGACCAATAGGGTTAAAAGTTGTGCCAAAGGAGTCTTACATGTGGCAAATCTAATATAGGAGTCATCCCTACACCTTGCAGACTTCTCTAAAGGAATTCTGGCCAGCCACCAAGGTCCTTCAGAGGATATGACTGTTGGACAACCAGTGATTAATTTTCTAAAATAAGAATCTGGGTCCATATGCGCTATAAAAGAGCAACAGCGTCTATGTTGCAAGCTCTTGTTCCATAGATGTAATGACAGGCTCAGATTACACTCTTGGCTAGGAAATGTTCTCTGTGCATGTCCAGAGGCACTGCTTTGCATGTTCCAGAGCCAGTTGAAGATTGCTAAGAGTTGCAAGATTACAGTGGGATATATATATAAAAAATCAAATAAACAAACGAACAAGTAAATACAGGAAATTTATACCAGGTATAAATTAAGACCTCATGAGCCCCAAAGCACAATGCAGTAGAGAGAAAGAAGGCTGGCACCATGCACGCATATCTGTGCTGAATTCATGCCCCCCCTGGGGGGGGGTTTCTGATGTGCTTTGTTGGGTGCTGATTTCCCTTTCCAAATGAGAAGGAGACTGAAAATAATTAAGGTGGACCTGAAGGCCACATAAAAGGTGTGCCAAATCACACCCCTGTAAGGGAGGCTGAGCCAAGGGAGAGAGGCTTGCCAAGGACTGCCCCATACTGTTCCCAGTCAACTAGGACTGTTGAGGGACTTGCTCTCTTTCCTGCCAGCATGGCCCCTGAACATCCATCAGTTCAGCAGGAAGAATCTTCAGTGTGAGCTGGGGGTGAAGAGGTCATTGATAAGCTCATAGAGTAGCTAGGAGGTTTGGAAGCATCTTCTCCAACTCTCAGAAGCAATAAATCATAGAATGTAAGGATTGGAAAGGAACTGGAGATCATCTGCTCCAACTCCTGTCTACAGCACCAGCATCCCCAACAGAAGACCATCCAGCCTTCACTTAATCACCTCCAGTGAAGGAAAGTCCACCACCTCTCAAGGCAGCCCCCTCCACTGTTGACCAGCTCTTAGGTTAGGACATTTTTCCCCCCTAGGTCCACCCAAAATCTACTTCCTTGCAGTATAATCCACAGCTTCCTGTCCTGTCTTCTGGAGCAGTTCCGAATGTTTCTGCTCCATCCTCTGCAGGGCATTCTTCGGATACTTGAAGGTGGCTTTCATGTTTCCCTACTATCTTATCTTCTCCAAGCTAAACATACCCAGCCGTTCTCATATGCTTTTCCTTCCAGCCCCTTATCATCATGGTAGGTTTCCTCTGGATAAGTTCCATTTTCTAAAGTGTGGTTCTGAGAGCTGGACGCACTATTCTAGATGTGGTCAGACTAACACAGATTAGAGAGGAACAGTGACTTCTCTTAATCTTGAGATAGACTATGAGAATTGCCACAAAAATACAATTCTCAAGGTCGCTTCTTTCACTTAAAAGTTACTTGTGTGTCTATGAGCAAAACAGGAGTAGAAGGAGACATTCTAGAAAGCTCTTAAATTCTTGGGATGTGCTTTGCCCCATTGGACTTTATGGAGAAAGGCTGGTCAGTTGGCCCCTTCCAACAACATCCTTTGTTCGACACTACACTTCTTGGCCTGATTTGGCGGTCCCAATCCCCATGGTGGACCTGCTGTTCCCAATCCAGTCACTAATAGGGCCCTGGGTGTTTTGGAACAGCAGCTGCGCCCATCCAGACTAGCGGGATAACCATGGCTAGCTCTAACAATCTTCAGCTTTAGTTTTTCTATTTGTAAAAGGGAGACTATGCCCTACCTGATACGGTGAGTGTGAAAAACGAAATAATTAACTCGTACATAAAATTGTCTGAACTACTAAGCCAATGGGAGAATTGTTGATAATAAGCATAATTTATTCTAAAGAACTAGAATTTAGGAAAGTTGATTTTTCCAAGAAGGGTATTTGGGGTCTCTTAAGGCACATTATTTACCGCACGATCATATTGTACTTCATGACAGGTTTGTAAAAGCATGGATTTTTACCTGTTTCTTCCACCCGTGCTTATGAATAGAGCAAAGATTCCCCTCTGCATTATGATTTTCCATTTAGTTTGGGAAACACTTTCCACCCTGCTTTTCTGCAGTGTTCAAGATAATTAGCAAAGTTCAGGGATTTTCAGATACAGCACCAGAGGGTAGTTTCTCACCAGGACTTTTGGAACTAGAACCCCTCTAGTAGGGATGCCTTGGGGGGGGCAGGGGTCAAAAAAGTCAAGATGGGGGCTGTAAATGGGCAACTGAAGCCCCACAACTTTTTTATGCAGATCACGTGCATAGCACAAGTTAAAAGGGGTGGGGTTTCAATTGCATGGTTGTAGCTGCCAAACACACACACACACACACACACACACACACAGAGTTTAGCCTCTTTTTTTCTCCCAGAATTAGGAAATGATATGTAAGCACTCTGGCTTTTATAATACACAATATTCTATTTCGGAAGATGAGTTATGTTCCTCTCCCTACCCTTCTGCCATTATACAGTAGAACACTCCCCTTTCTTCCTGGCCTTTAGAGTGGGAATCGTCATCTACATCTGCAGAGCATAAGTTGTTTTCAGATGGAGGCCAAGGGCATTTTCAATTACTGTCCTGTACTTCTCTGTTGGCTTTGATCATAAGCATCGATTAGGAGATTCATTGCCCCAGATTTTCTTCTGGGTAATGGATTTCGGGGGGTGTGCTGCACGTTTTTTTCTCCACCTTTCTGAAGCGAAATAAATATGTATTTATTGTTGTTTAACTTCTTGCAATTCTTTCCTCCATTGTCACTCGTTTTTTCGGCACATATCACCCTATGCCAGGACTTTTCTGAATTCTGGCATGCTTGGCTCTTCCGATGGGGTGTGTCTAAGCACATAGCATCCTCTTTTTTTATTTTATTTTTTATTTTTTTCTTTTATGAGCGTAAGCCGCCCAGAGTTGTTTTGGAGTTGGGCGGCCGCTCAGTGTAAATGATAACAACAACTGTGTTATTGAATCAAGAAAACTCCTTTCTGGCTCACACATCCTGCTAAGTAAACTATGAAGCATGCTTAATATGCTTTTTCTCCTATTAGAAGAAGTTGGCTGAGAATGATCAAGACATCCAGAATTGTTCAGAGTTCTAGTTTAGGGTGTCATGAAGACAGCCAACATTGTTTGTTTGCTGTGTGGGCAAACTGTGCTTGGGAATAGCTGTCTTTAGCAGTGTTTCTCAACCTCAACAACATTTAATAGAGTGGGGGCGGCCACAAAAACCCCCACCCCCCTCCCCGGCCTCCCCCCCGGCGGAGGGGGTGGGGGAG